CAACAATACTACTGCGAGAATAAAAGTTACGCCTTCTTTTTTTGCGTGAACATTTGGGCGGCGTTATGTAAATCTTCCCACATAGTGAGGTAGAAATGTGTGGGCGTGTTAGAACGAGCCGTTTTAGGTAGGCGTGGTTGACTCTTAACTTTTATAAAGAATATCTCTTTGGATTTGAGACTTTAGTCTTTGCAACTTTACAGATCTTCTTTATGCACCAAGAGCTTGTAACACTCCAAAGAGAAAGGAAAAATTGAAATCGCATCATATGACCCCTTTAAAATTATTTTTATTTACCGATTATTCTTGCATTATTAAAAAATGAACAGTAGTTGGATACATAGGAATTATTAAGATGAAATATTATGAAATAACTGTTTAACTACATTTTACTTCTGAAGCTGCTGCCATTTTTAGTGTTTCCACATGACGAGTTAAAAAAAAAAGTTTACAAGTTGCAATTATGAGCTCTACGACGAAATGAACGCTTTTTACAAATCTCATAATTCTGGTAATTCCAACATGCCGTGAACGCAGCTACAGGTGCATCTCAATAAATTAGAATGTCGTGGAAAAGTTCATTTATTTCAGTAATTCAACTCAAATTGTGAAACTCGTGTATTAAATAAATTCAATGCACACAGACTGAAGTAGTTTAAGTCTTTGGTTCTTTTAATTGTGATGATTTTGGCTCACATTTAACAAAAACCCACCAACTCACTATCTCAACAAATTAGAATACTCCATAAGACCAATAAAAAAAAACATTTTTAATGAATTGTTGGCCTTCTGGAAAGTATGCTCATTTACTGTACATGTACTCAATAAGTGGTAGGGGCTCCTTTTGCTTTAATTACGGCCTCAATTCGGCGTGGCATGGAGGGGATCAGTTTGTGGCACTGCTGAGGTGGTATGGAAGCCCAGGTTTCTTTGACAGTGGCCTTCCTTTTCCACGACATTCTAATTTATTGAGATGCACCTGTATATTCTAACAGGATAAGCATACGCATGTGTGATTTTGTGTGCACCAAAAAGGTGACATGGTAATGTACCATGGAGTATAATGTAAATACACTGTACATAAATGATAACAATTCAGTAATATGGTATTTATCAGAGTACCATGGTAGTACCATCTGATACAGTACGTTTTGTAATGGCAATTTCCTTTAGCCACAAATATGTCAACTGAATATATCAACTGAAATGTTACATATACCTGCTTTTTGTAATCTATCCAAGAATATTTAAATATATCATTGATATAATTGATTTAAGTTGATTTTTCTAAACTATTGGCTACTTTTTGTTTAAGTGATGAATCTTTTTTGAGGATAAAAAAGGATTTAAAGGGGTCATATGATGCGATTTCATTTTTTCCTTTCTCTTTAGAGTGTTACAAGCTCTTGGTGCATAAAGAAGATCTGTAAAGTTGCAAAGACTAAAGTCTCAAATCCAAAGAGATATTCTTTATAAAAGTTAAGAGCATCATATGACCCCTTTAAAGGGATAGTTTACCCAAAAATGAAATTTACCCCATGATTTACTCATCCTCAAGCCATCCTAGGTGTATATAACTTTCTTCTTTCAGACAAAAACTCTGATTGTATTCTGAAAGAAGAACTTCATACACACCTATGATGGCTTGAGGGTGAGTAAATCATTGGTTAATTTTCATTTTTGGGTGAACTATCCCTTTAATATCGTTCACTAATATCCGCAAACACCTTTAATTGTCAAATAGCCGATCTTCGCATAGCTCCAGCGGCCACTTTGATGCTCCACCAAACACTTCAATGTTACTGTCAGTCCAGGCCACCACATTCCCAGGCATGTAGGATGAGCAGTTTGACATGGCAATGATATCCGTGGAGCGCAGGACCCGATCCCAGATGTTAAAGTGGCTCAGTTCCCCCACAAAGGCCTGGGTTGCATCAAAGCGCCCCCCTACTACATCCTGTTGAGGCCATAAACGACAGGCCTCGTTAAGACAACAACAATAACCCCTTTTATTCTCTCTTAGAGGATGTGCAAGCTAACTCTACGACATTGTTTACTGCCTGAGGTCAAGTTTTATTTAAAGTGTAAAGTTCATGAGTCAGTAACAATGTTGTGTAGGGATGGCATAAAATTACCGATACAGTGTGACTGTGCAGCAAAAACGGCTGTATCAGCTCTGCTTATGTTCTCACCTGTTCTTGGCCCAGGATGAGGACTCCTCCCTGCTTGATAGGGTGCCAGGGGGCCAGATTTTCTCCTGATCCCAATCTTTGGCCATCCTGGTAGGCTTCCCAAAGCCCATCCCTGGTAGTCCAAGTGATGCAGATATGGTGCCACCTCCCATCGCTCAGTGATAGAGGTAGTTGTGCCACCTATTTGACAACAGTAGGTATTACAATATTTTCTTTACTTCGTGAAGCACAAAGTGAGATCTTAAGTTTCTTTTTTTCATACCAGGAATTATACTGCTAAGATGTAATACAACAAAAAAGCAGCATACAAGTAGCCATATGGAGTTGTTGTGGAATTAAAGGTATAGTTCACCCAAAAAGTATATAATTTCTTATCATTTATTCATCCTCACATCATTCCAAACCTGTAAAACTTTTTTTTTCCTCTTCAGAAACACAAAAGAAGACATTTTGAAGAATGATGGTTTTGGTTACCACTGGCTTCTATTGTGTGGGAAAAAGAAAAAACAATAAGGAAGTCATACAGGGTTGGAATGACATGAGGGTGAGTAAATGATGACAGAATTTGATTTTTTGGAAGGGGTTAACTAACCTTTTAACTCACTGTACACTGATGATCTTCATTTACCCTCTCAAATCTCATTTGCTGTCATGTTTTTTAAACTTTCCATGTTACTTTTCCAGGTCACATGAACCCAGTGGTGTTAGGCATCAATGACGTCAATCCTCACGCGATGTTTCTAGACAGTATTAACAACTCTGATACTTTTATGCTGCTTTTTCTTTTTTGGAGTTTATCAGTATAAATCACCATACATTACATTTTTGTATTATTTTTACAACTATTTATTACAAAAGAAAAAGTATGAAAGTCATTTCTGTTGTTAATAAACATAAGAAAACATTAGTTTTCTTATACATTCATTTTAGTATTATCAATATCAACGTAGAAGGTATAAGCTAAATGATGATTATTAATCTGCAGTGTAATAATAGCAATAATAGTCATAATAGTAATAATAATCATCATCAGAGTCCTCATAACATTCAATGGCAAATTTGCATTTCTTAATACGCAGGTTCGTTACCTTGTCATTGATGAGCAGTTCTATAGGGTTATGGCCCCATTCGATCAGTACAATCTCATTTGCCTGTCCAGGCACTCCATAGGAAAACGGGGTTCCAATGCCGGGGCTCGAACCTGACTTGAGCCACATGCAGATAGTGAAGGCGTACATTTCTGGCAGGCTTTTCTTTACTTGTCCAAAAAGGTCATTTGTGCGAAGAGGAAGAGAGATCTTGAAATTCTCTGGTGATTTAAATCCAGCTCCTCCTAAAGTTAAAAAGTGTGATTTATTATTGTGTCATCTCTGGAAGAATGCAGAAATATGCTGACCGACCACAAAACAACCTGATTACCCCCTCGGCACTGGAGGCTAATGAAGTCCCTTTTAAATCAAACATTAAAGGGGTCATATGATGCTTTTTTAAAGATCATTATTTTGTGTATTTGGTGTAACAGAATATGTTGACATGCTTTAATGTTCAAAAAACACATTATTTTTCAAATACTGTAGATTATTGTAGGTCCTCTATGCCCCGCCTCTCTCAAACGCTTCGTTTTCTACAAAGCCCCCTCCTT